AATTAATATAATCTTATTTCGATTACTAAAATCCTATATGACAAAACTATTTAAAATATACAATAGAAAATTATTTACAAAAAGAGTGATAGAGATAAAATAAAAATATTTGCACTGTGAATTCGTTGCAAAACTTAAGTAACAAAATGACATAATACAAAAAAAAATGTTATTAATAATTTAGACAATAAAGAATTGCAAGAAATATAATTTTATTTGTACCAACAAACACTTAATTTGCATAAATCAAATTTATTTTTATCGTTATCTTTAAATGTGTAAAACTATTTAATGATTCAATTTTTAAGTAAAATGGCCGCGCATCGCGCGGGTATGTATACTAGTATATTTAACAACAATTAAACTATTATCGTTAATTAATTATAGCTAATTGTTGTAGTGAATATGTAATTGTTGATCATAACCAATTATAATTAACTAATCTAAGCAGTAAAATGTACGTGTGAGAAATGTAGTGTTAAGATTGGAAGGTTGGCAGGATCCTTTCCCACGTAAAGAAGACATATACATAAACAATTGTAAATAGGTGAAGGAATATTTTAGTTGGTTAAGTTTGTTATAGATTAGCCAATAAACATTAGACACTTGTATGCATAGAATTTTTACAATTACTCCATTATATTTTAGCCATAGAATATATATATACTTGTATAAATAGAAGAAGGGTTCTACCACGAATTAAATATATGTTCTTTCTTCTCTTGTTATTTGAATTAGAATCATCTATTTTTTGAAAGAACGATGAATTTTTTCATCTTATGCTTATTAGCCTTATTTTTCACCACCACAAAAGATGTGGATGGTGGTGACACGATAATAGTACTGTCAGTGGTACCACCATCACTTGTTTCTCCAACAACCTCATCGACAATACACAATTTATATGACATCAAATTCAGCCCACCACTAATCATATTTATTTGTATAACCATATCCTTGAGTGCAGGTGTCATAATATATGAACTCTGGACAAATCCTCGTTTTTACTCTGACGAAATTCCATTGTCGATTGGTCGTCCACCATAGCTTATAATACCTGAAAGAAGCGGTTCTGAACTCTACTATCAATATTCAATTATTTCAATATCATTAAAGAAAATGTTTTAATCAAACCCCCTAATATCAAGCTAGAATGTGAGGTGTGTTTGAAAGATGAACAAACACTTTGTCTTATCAGATAATGTCGTCAAGAGATTGGTGGACTTACTTTTTAGTCAAGTACTTGGTCCAACAATTCGTGCGGCACCAAGTGTTTACATCAATTCAATAAATATATAAATAACACATGTTCTTACAAAAATGGTTATCATTCGTACTATTCATACATGTTTTAAGTAATAATCTTTTGTGGGTTGGGTATTAAATTTGTCTATCCGTTTAAAGGGATGTGGGTTGGGTATTAAATTTGGATGAATATTTTAATTTAGGTGAATTTCTAAATTTTGTTAATTTAATTAGTGACATGGTCCATTGTATCATTGTCCATAAGTAAAAAGTGGTATATCAAAACTAAGTATATTTCTTTTTGATAAATAATAGGACGAATTGACATTTAATATTACGACAATGGTATAGATAAATAAACTTTTAACAGATAACATAAATAAATTTTTTTTCAAAGTTTGATGATACAATAAGGGTTTTCCCTAATATTTATTTTCAGGTGTTCATATCAAATTCGATTTTCATGGTTAAATATTTAATAAATAAATTATATATATATATATATATATATATATATATATATATTCCTATATATAATAAGTGGGAATATCTACTATTTACCACATGACAAATGTTCATTTGGGCCCATTTATTATTTATATGTTTTCAATTTTTAATATATGTTGTCTATCTTATTCTTTTTTTCAACCTTTTATTTTATACTTCTTGAAATTTAATTACCTATTTATTACTCTCTCTATACACTTTTAATTGTTATGATTTCCTTTTTAGAGTCAAACTATAAGGATTTTAACTAATATTTTACAATGTGTTTTTTCATCATATTCATATGCAAAAAAAATTACAATTTATAGTACTTTTTGTATAGATTTTGCATATTTAATTTTTTTGTTTAAAATATCAAATTAATACAATCTAATTTAACTTTGAAAATTATTATATTACTACTATTAATAAGAGTGAATGTGAGGAGCTTCGTGTTTATGCGAATTGACAAAAAATGTAATTCAATTGGTTAGTTAAAGGAGTAGTGCAACTGCATTTCATTTTTTGTATCTATTGGACTAATTTGTTCCCTTAAAACTACAAGTAATTCGCACAACTTTCTGAAAACATGGGCCCCACTTATTACTACTTAGTTGTATTGCTTTGGTGACTGATATCAAGTATTTTCTCTCCAATAATATTTCTCCAGTATTGACTTTATACATTTTTTAAGAAATTATAAATAAAAGAGTAATATTACTATATCATTCTTTAAATATAATAAATATAATGTATTAAAAAATATAATTGAAAAATGACTATAATTAATGATAAGGGGTAAATTATCCATCGATTTCATAAAATGGACAAGTATTGTAGGACATTCCAAAATAGTATAATAGACAATAATTATTGGACGGATGGAGTAGGATTAAGTCTTTCTTTCAATACTTTTCTCACATTAATTAATTTCTCTCAGCATTCAATTAGTGAATCTTTAGTAGAATTAATTAGAATACTTTTTACTTAATAATATGCACAATAAGCAATAAGAGGAAGCTTTCGCTGGTCTTGTTCTTTTAAGGGTATGTTGCTAAACCATCAACACTGAAAGGTAGCTCTACTGATAATTGTGAAGAAAGCATATTAATGGATTAAAAATAAAAAAGAGGTAATTAAACCCTAAAATATTATAAAGACATCTATAAAATTTGGTTGAAGCTCAAAATCTATTAGTGCCATATAAATTAGGATAGAGGAAATAACATATATTATTTGAAATAACATGAAACGTACTACAAATCACACAATAATTAGCAACTTCAAAATTTAAAAGACATACAAAAAATTTGATCAACTCTCAAAATTCTACTAATGTCACATAGTTTGGGATAGAAAAAGTAACATATACGTAAAAAGTACTATAACTCATAATAATTAAATAACTTCAAAATCTAAAAGACATATACAAAATTTGCTTGACTTTCGAAATTCTATCAATGACACATAAATTGGGACAAAGAGAATATTGAAAATTACATATAAAGTATTATTAACCACAATAATCAATAACTTAAAATTTAAAGAACATACAAAAAAATTGTTTGACCGTTAAAATTTTATTAATGTCACATAAATTAAAATAAAAAATAAAAATATATGTTGAGCCCGTGCTAGCACGGGCTCCTGTAACTAGTGTATATATATATATATATATATATTAATTACTTGTGATCAAATGATATAGCAATATATATATAATGTATGTCAGTATACATCAATTTAATTAATAGAAATATTTGTTGGGGATAAAATTTATTTTGCAATATATAATGGAGTAAGTGTAATTAGGTAGAAGAAATGAGTCACTTGATTAAGATAATTTGACAAGTACAGCATATTCCACCTCATCACTAGTCAGACCTACTGAATAATAGTAAAAGTAAATTGTGGTGGAGTCAAAAGCGAAATTTGATTCAAATCAATGGAATTAAGATAATTTTTTAATATCTCAACCAAATTAGACCACACCATAATACAAATTTAATCAGTTTTATTTTTTTGTGTTGTTTTTTTTAATATATTGAGACACAACTTTTTGCTTGGATAAGAGCCCGTTTGGATCGGCTTAAAAAATGTAGTTTTTAACTCAAAAATAAAAGGTTAAACTGAAATGACTTTTAAGTCAAAAAATAAAAAGTAGGGAGAGACCTACTTTTGATTTCTGACTTATTTTAAGTCATTTTTTACCTTGCCAAACACTTCGTAACTTATTTTAAGTCATTTTTGACTTATTTTAAGTTGTTTTTTATATTTGTCAAACACTTTCAAAAGTCAAAAACTGACTTAAAAGTAGGTTTGACCAACTTTTAAGTCAATCCAAACGGCATTCACTTTTACTTCTCCTAAAATAGATGTTATTTTTACTTATTCACTTTAAAATTCAGGAGATAAATTATTATTTACTTTTAATTTATTTTATTATTAATTATAGTCAATTTTTAAAATATTGAAATTTTTTATATTAAAATAGTAATAATAACAATATCATTATATGTATTGCTCCCTAAAGGGTGTATCAATCAATAATAAACGAAGAAAGTGGTACTTATTTTTTTTCGCTTCAATTATCATATTATTTGTTATTTATTATTTTTCTGTTTCTTAATTGTTTTCAACAGAATTTCTTCGCTGCTATATTTTTTTTACACGTTTGATTTATAATACTTTCTTTGGTCTAATTTATATGACTGACTTTCCTTTTCAATCAACCTAACACAAAGATATAAAGTAGGAATTTTACCGACTCCAAATTTATATGATGTAGTTTGACTTGACACAAAAATATAAAGTAGGAATTTCATCGACTTCAAATTTATATGATGTAGTTTAATTTGACACGAAATTTAAAAACAAAAATTGGAACTTATAGTATAAAATATGTCATAATGTTTGTTGGTTATAAATATTCCCTTCATGTTGATAAAATAATTTATAATCACACTAATATGAAAGACTTATTTTTTGTCATAAAATTTCAAAATCTTACTTTGTTAAATTTCATATCAAATTAAATTATGTCACACGAGTTAAGTATGAACACACCAACCTACCCAATCCTGAATGTCTGCGACTTCCCTGTTGATGACCCATTTTGGCCGTCTCCATTACCAAACTACTAGTCTTTGATTGTGTTGCAAAGAGCTCCAAAAATGGAAGAAATTCGCTAATAAATAAGCTGCATTTTATTTTTCCAACGATGAAGCTTCTAGAAACAACTATTCATTTCTTGTTCGTTTTGTACTTATTTTCCATTTTCCAAATTTCATTAGGTGATACCATAACAACAACTCAGTTTCTCAAAGATGGTGAACCCAGTATCACTTCATCCGGTGGAAGTTTTCAGATGGGGTTTTTCAGTCCAGGTAATTCCAAAAATCGTTATATAGGTATATGGTATAGCAACATATCTGTAACAACCGTTGTTTGGGTTGCCAATAGAGAAGCTCCTCTAGGAACTAATTCAGGTACCCTAAAAGTTATCAAACCAGGAATACTTGTTATAGTGAATGATAGTAACCACATCATATGGTCTACCAATACCTCGAGATCTGTGCAAAACCCTGTTGCAAAGTTGCTTGATTCTGGAAATCTTGTTGTTATTGATGCTGGTCATGGTGTTGGTGATGATATTAAAATTGGGGATTTTCTCTGGCAGAGTTTTGATTACCCAACTGATACCCTTTTGCCCGGGATGAAAATTGGGTGGAATTTTGTGACTGGGAAGGAACTGTATTTGTCGTCGTGGAAGAACGAGGAGGATCCAGCTCCGGGTGATTATACGTACCATTGTGATCCTTCTGGTTACTTGCAGAACATTTTGAAGAAAGGTTCAAAGGAGGTATACAGATCTGGGCCATGGAATGGCTTAAGGTTTAGCGGAGCAACAAGTTCAAGACAAAGTCCATTTTATACATTTGGTGTGATCTCAACTAAAACTGAGGTGTATTTTAGTTATCACCTTCTAGCTTCGGTTATTACAAGGTTTTGTTTGAATCCGAATGGTGCGTTACAACGATGGACTTGGGGCGATAGGAATAAAGGTTGGGCACTTTACCTTTCATTACCAACAGATAATTGTGATACTTATAAGTTGTGTGGAGGATATGGTAGTTGTAGTAGTTTGAATTCTCCGGTATGTGGATGTTTAGACAAGTTCGAGCCTAAACATGTTGAAGATTGGGGGAAGGCAGATTGGTCAAGTGGTTGTGTTAGGAGGATTGAACTGAATTGCGTCAAGGGAGATGGTTTTTTGAAGTATTCGAAACTTAAATTACCAGACACGCGGAATTCATGGTTTAATGTGACTATGAACCTTGAAGAATGCCGGAAAGTTTGCTTGAGAAATTGCTCTTGTATGGCATACTCAAATCTTGACATACGCAATGGAGGAACCGGTTGCTTACTGTGGTTTAAAGATCTGCTTGATATTCGACAGCTAGCCAACGAAGGACAAGATATCTACATTAGAATGGCTGCCTCTGAATTAGGTAAGTTTATTGCTGAAAATATAAAATTAATAGTTTTGAGATTGATTTCGTAAAGACGGTAAAATTTATGAGTTGCAGGAGCCCGGGATAAAAAAAAATCTGAATTTTCTTGTAGACACAGCCAATGACTACTATGAAATTCATAAATGAAGTAGTTAATGGTAGGAGTACAGTTATCCTTTTTGTAGTGATGAACCTTTTATGTGTTCCTAAGAAAAGGAATTTGTCCATTTTTCGGGGTCTCAAAGGTGCGTGGAAACACATATGAACTCTTTAATGGGGAAGGGATAAAACTCCACTTCCTTCTGAATGGGTAGTCAATCCTATGTTTTGATAGGAACAGTTGACAATTGAATCCGATTTCGACCATTATTTTCATATAAAAAATGTTGTACTATAACGGAAAAGTAAAACTCACAGATTTAACTGAACAAAATACTATGAAATTAGCACAGCTACGTCTCTGGATTAAGAAAAATGAGTTAAGAGTGGAGTTATGCTGAACCGGTGACCATGATGTCTAGACAAATAAAAGAGCTCTAATGTTGTCCTGTCTAACAAGCTGATGGAGAAAGTCGAACTGATTACCTATATTTGGGTTGAATAGTTGCAGCTAGTCAGGTGAAATCAAATGGACACAAAGGAAAATTACTCTCCTGGATTATCCCGTTATCGGCGGCTGGAGTGATTTTGATAATCCTAAGCCTAGTGATCTGGATTAGAAGAAGGAAGATAGCTTCAAAGAAAAAGAAAGGTAACCTCGACAAGTCATTATGTTCGGAATATAATTAGTAGATGAACTCAAATTCAAAGGAAAATCTTTCTTGTCTAGTATTTGCCAAACTGAATTTGGGACATTGGTCTTTTGGCAGGATGCTGGGGGCGCAATGGCAATTACAAGATGGATTACCTCAACGGAAACCTCAGTGAAGAATATGAGTTACCACTGTTCGACTTATCTACAATAGCTAAATCTACGAACAACTTTTCAGGGATGAGCAAAATTGGAGAAGGTGGATATGGACCTGTTTACAAGGTAATCACTTATAGCATTTGCAGTTGTTTACATGAAATAAGCAATTCACAGCCCACATAATTGAGCATAGAGAGATTCGGGAAGACCGACAGTAAGGAATGATTTAACGACTTTATAGTTTTGGAAGAGTTTTATAAACATTAGCTAAACTTGATTGAATTTATAATAGTTGCTCAATTCTTCATAATTTGAGCTTCTACCTTTTGGTGGAAGTATAATTTGACTTTCATGTTCGGTGTTGAAAAAACTTAACATGTAGATATATGATGTTTAGGGCGTGCTTGAACACGGACAGGAAATAGCTGTGAAGCGGCTGTCTAGGACTTCCACACAAGGACAAGATGAGTTCATGAATGAAGTGATGTATATTGTGAAACTTCAGCATAGAAATCTGGTGAAGATTCTCGGATGTTGCATCGAAGGAGAAGAAAAAATGTTGATCTATGAGTACATGCCAAATGGAAGTCTTGATTCATTTATATTTGGTAAGGATTTCTCAAAAAAAAGAAAAAAATTGTGCTTAATAGTTACATTTCAGTTGATAGATGCCCTGTAGGAGTACCCAAATAATCCTCTTGGCCCAAAGTTATGTTTTTTATTGTTACTTTTCCGATTTAGTTCGATGTTTAAATCCCCCTCTCAGTTTTACCTGATTTGTGTGAATTAATGCTCCAACTATGAAACTTTTAACAGATGACACACGAAGCACGGTATTAGACTGGTCTAAGCGCTTTCACATAATCAATGGGATAGCTCGGGGACTTATGTATCTGCATCAAGATTCTCAGTTGAGGATCATTCACAGGGACCTGAAAGCTAACAACATTTTACTAGACAATGACATGAATCCAAAGATATCAGACTTTGGTATAGCAAGAAGTTGTGAAGACGACAAGTTTGGAGCCAAGACACACCGAGTAGTTGGAACATAGTAAGAATCTTAAGATGATATTTTACTGAATCATTCAAAACTGGAATAGAAGAAGAGCCTTGAGATTATCATAGTATGTTTACCCAGTATTAGTAACGCTAATTTCTTTTTACGTTTTATGCAGTGGCTACCTCTCACCGGAATATGCTGTACATGGTGTCTACTCGGTGAAGTCAGATGTATTTAGCTTTGGTGTCTTAGTTCTTGAAATTGTGAGTGGGAAAGGGAACAGAAAATTCTCTCATCCGGACCATAACCTTAACCTCCTGGGACATGTAAGGGTTGTGTTTTTCATTGTCTATCAGTAAATTATCTCGTAAACCTGGTCATGCTAACACGATACTAATATCTACAGGCATGGACACTCTATAAAGAAGGTAGATCAATGGAATTACTCGGGGATTTCCCCATTGATGTTTGTTCTACACCTGAAGTTATACGATCAATCCATGTTGGTCTATTGTGTGTTCATCATCGTCCAGAAGATCGTCCAAGTATGTCTTCAGTGGTTATGATGTTAAACAATGAAGGTGTAGTGCCACCTGCTAAACAGCCAGCTTTCTTCGTAGAAACAAATACACCAGATAATGAATTCTCTTCTAGTCAATATGCACATAGTACAGTGAATCAGATCACCATCACAACATTAGATGCCAGATAGTAAATTCTTCATTGCAAATAGTAATCTATTATACCCTTCATTCTTTTCTTCTTTGTAGCAATGGTGCATCTTCTTGTAACATGGTGCAAAAACTGCTAACATGTGTTAATATATTGTCTATATATCCTGAGCAATTTGAACCTGGGCACCATGTAAGTTCTGAACATACCCTTACCATTGCACTACACGTCTTCATTGGTTCTAAGGGTGTACAAAATTCTATATATACCAATATAAATTAAAATTTGACCTATATATAAATTTATATGTTAGATTCATCTTTTCGTAATAGTGTACCCATATGCCTCTGCACGCGATCCTTCTCTGTCAGCCATAGACAGCTAATCATAGCAATGTAAAAGATGTAAAAATCACAAAACAACTTTCAGGATCGGTATATATTATTTCTCTTGTATGTGTTATTTTGCTTTTGTTCATATATAGTTTAGTATTAATTTATATGTATGTGTTTATCCATTAATTAAGAAGATGGAAGAATGTGTAGATCCAACACTAAAAGGATCATTTTGTAAGATATATAGACATGTTATTCAAAGTCAATTTGATTGGTCATAAATTAAAAAATTTCACCATAATACACACCTTGACACTAAAAGATCATCTTGTTTCCTTTTTTTTTTTAAGTCCTATTAACGAACTACTTCTTAATATACTTCGATGAACTAAGCTACATATAAGTTTCGTTGCATAGATGATTTCATTTTATTATTCTCCCAATTCCATTTTTTTTTAAATTATTATTTTAATGGTTCCAGAATGATTTGATTATTTTCTTTTGTTGATATTACGGGAAAAATAAAGAAACAATTATCCTCCTTGGATCGCTTACCAAAAAAAAAGAATAAAATTCAACTTTAATTTTATGATTATTGAACTTGTTAATGCAAGATTTGTTTGTTTTTTTTTTTTTTTTATATTCATTGGTAAACATGGATGAAGCTCCAAATGGTGATATGAATAATGGTAATCAAGGTCTTACCAGCACTCTCATGTTTAAGAAGAAATAGACTTGCTGTGTTTGTAATGGTACCAGAAAATAAAAAGAAATTCAGCCATGAATATAAGATCCACAACTGGATACCATTGCTGTGATTTCTTTCAAAGTCTAGATAGCCGATAGGGTGCTGTTCAAAATGAAAAGTGAGATGACTACTATAATGGTCCACAGTAAAGCTACAATTTCCACACACTACAGTTGTATGAATATATACATTCTCTAAAAGACATGGTGCATCATAACTGCAAAAGACGTTCAAATCCGTATATTTAGGCAACCAAAATTAGATAGTAGAGTACTACAATCGATCTTCACCTTTATACCCACTTCCAAACTAGTCCACATCTGCGTTGTTCATAGTTTATCTGAAGGACACAGCTCACTCTCAGCAAATTCTGCTTTCCTATTTGTGTTGCAATGCTCCTACCCTTGAACGTCTATATAATAGAGATAAAGATAAGGAACTCGAGAATACACAAGCTCCATCATTTATAAGGGAAACGCTAATACAGGAAACAAAATAAAATGATCAAGTAGATGTTTACCAACGGACTTCCCTCCCTCCTTCATCTACACCTTGCTTTATTTCTCTTCCCATGTTGCTTACATGAATGTCCTACAAGGCACAAAATAGCAAGTGTGCATATTAGGCAATGTCCCAGCTTGATACTAGGGCAAGAACTCCCCCCCCCCAAATTAGTTGCATGACAGAATTTACAGTCTAACATCACTTCATGTATACTAGAACACCCTGCCATGTGTCCGCCCCATACATCCCAAAACATTTTCTCTAAATTTTCTTTCAAGTACTTGACTAGAACTTATTACTTTATACAAAGGTGTGTAGGAATTATTATGTCCGATCTCAAATTGATGGACCAATTTTGCTTTCACAACTGTATAGTTTTTTTATGTAATGTTCATCACTTTTCAACTTCCAAAATTATTTTCTTTTATGAAGTTTTAAATTTTGTTTATGTTTGAAAATATAACAAAATTTTCATGGGGCTAACATCTTTCTTTGTATTGCTGCCGTTTGTAATTCTGGTCGACATAAACTTCAACCAATCATTCTCATAACAGTTTATTTTATAGTCGAGCATCCTCAAGAAGCAATAGTACACAGAAAACAAAATGAGAAAAGGACCAAAACGAAAAAAAAATCTTGCAGATAAGGTTGGAGGACTGCTTATACACAGCCTCTACGCCTCGAGTAAAGAACTAGAAATCTAAAAACAGAATACAGAACAAGATACTCTACTTAGCAACTTTCTCATTACAATTTTTCTCCTATATATGCTTTCGATAAAACTCATTTACATCCGAAAATGGGATAGACAGTAACATGTAGTTGTTGACAAAGTCTTCAATTACTCAAACATAATTACTTTTTTTTGATAAGATACTCAAACATAATTACTTACCGAGTTTATTTAGCAAATGCCACTGTCTCAGGTAGAACAAATGATGCACATAACATCCATTTTCCTGGTGCAACAAGGCGAACCTTGTGCATCTGTACCTCAAAAGCCACCTCAGACAGTGCAATCCTGATTTTCTGTTCAAGTTCAAAGAAGAAAAATTCAGCATTCCCCTCAGTAATACCTGGAGCAAAAAAGTTGAGTCAAATGAAAAGAAATAGCGCACAAACTAACAGCTGACCTCATGAAAATCGAATTCAGGATCCCGAGCTTTCGAAAAACCATATACATGAATCCTTGGCAAGGTAAATTGCTTATCCGCGTGCCTATTTCTGAAAATTCCTCTAAAAGAATCTGCAAACATGAGAAAAGCAGTTATGTATGGCTACACATCTAGATAAATGAATGGAAGGTCTGCCTTTATTTTTGTTTTGGTCACCTCAGCTCCTACATTAAACTGAAAAAAGGAATGTAATGCAGCACATTGCCTTCTGAGAAAATTTTTGAAAGTGCTGTCATGCCACACCATACATTTCAAATATGGGAGTAAGAGAACTAATCAAGGCAATAATTTTAGTGATGGAAAATGCTTTTGACATTGATACTCAATAGTAATACTTGAAATGAATTATCCATCAGATAATCCATATAAACATCATGCCCCTGCAAAGGTCATAGTAGATCTGCTTCAACACTAAAAACAGGGTGTCTTACCCGTCAAACCAATGCCTAACAACCATGCTAGTAGAATGAAACATAATTGTATCAATAAATTAAAGAAAACCCTACCCTCCCTCATGCTCTGCATAAGCTTTTTTGGTGCCCCTAGAGAAGCTTGTTCATCAATAATTTTCAAAACTCAAGCTTCTCATTCTTCGTTATTATGCAAGAATTACTGTCAATCCTTGGAACACTATGCTCCAACTACACTGTCACATGCAAGTTGGCATTAACAAAAGTAACAAAATCTTCTTAATGAAAAGCTTTCTGGGGCCATAGTTCAACCAAGAGAAACAAACAATCACGGCCAACAGTGCTCCTTAACCTCTAACCCCATAGTAATGAGAGATGTCAAAAATCAGATTTCGACAAGCAGGATACTTCCTCAAAAAAGAAGAGAAACTGAGACATTTTATATTAGCGATATGGAGATATTTTATATGCTACAAGACAACTTAAATGAGAATAAAAGAAAAGAGATGTTGAATTAGAATCACTCATTAAGGTCAAGAACTGAGTCAGCAGGAATCAATAGGAAGTGCAGTTGAAATATCAAGAAGTCGTCTTCTCAATTTAGCAACTTCGGAATTAGACCCGGGAGAGAGAATTAGAAAAACTTGAAGCCGACTGCAGAGGGCTTATTTTCTCAACTAAATCACACCACATCGATGGAGCTCACAACTGAAAATTTGTCAAGTTAACTAACACCAATAACATCCGATAGCATATCAAAACTTAAAGCTTGAAATTTATCAAAAGATTGCGTACCAAGAAATTCTGCAGCATCATTTGGCAAATTCATTACTACTTGAGTAATTGGCCTAGCTTTTTCACTTGCAAAAATGCTGTCAATGAACCTCCTCCCATCCATGTTAAAAATCTACAAAATAAACAAGATCACTATTTTGTGACACCATATATCACTGGATACATGAATTCAAGAAACCAAAAGTTAAATATAAACCATTAATACACCGGCAAGATCAAGGGTGTAAAATAAGTGAACTGATTTCGGTGAGTTCCTACCTAAAGATCACTATTTTTTACTATAAATATGTTATATGTAGATCTTATGCATTATTCAAAACTTAGTGAAATACCAGAAATTATTACTTGCATGTAGATGAATTTATACCTCAATCTTCCTCTCAAGTTTGTTACGGACACAGTTTCTCTCCAGATATTCAACAGCATTAGGGTTCAAATCATTAGCGTATACATATTTGACCTTCTTCGCAGCAGATATTGCAATGGGACCCACCCCAGCAAAAACATCACCTATAGAGATATAAACAACTGTGAGAAACAGAGAGAACAAAAGGATATAATGCAAGTTAGAAGAGGAACCACACAAAGATTAATTCAGATAATAAGCAAATGACAAAGCAGTTTGGAGCAGACCAATTCATTCATATTAATTTTGGGTACTCTTGAAGTAGTGTCAGTTTCTTTTAATTGTTTACTGTCACATGCATATTGCTAAATTTAAGAAAAAATTCAAGTAGGATAATTCTTTTAAGACTATTAAAATGGAAACTGCTGACCCCATGATAGGCTAAATAGTGTGAGAGTGTAGTGGAAAAACCAAGAGAAAAACTCGAAAAAAGAAATCAAAGTGGAATCGTAGAGTTACCAATTCAGGAACTCATGTATGCATGTAACATAGTATTCAAGAAAACTTACAAACAACATCATTGTTGGTGAAGCAACTAAGAAGCCTTTGTCTTTCGGTTGCCAGCCTAGAATTCCAATATCTACCAGAAAATGACAATTTATAGAAGAAAAAAAAAACAAGGGATATCAGATTCTACTAATAGGAGGTTTTCATCTTTACTTGTATTCTTATTAGCTTACACTCACACTGCTGCTAAATCAACATCAAAATAGAGTCCATTCTCGACTACAGTAGTAACAAGAGAATGATTTCCTGCCAGAACTTCGAGCTGCATTGTTCTGTAGTCATTGTGGATGACATCAGTTTTATTGACAACTGTTTGTATCTTCGGCTTGTTCTTGTCCAGAACTACCTGGTAAAAAACAATCCCAAGAAATAAACTGAAATTTCATAGAACCATAAAAAATGTGGTAGATGTGTAGAAACCAGGTACCTTTGCAATAAGTTTCTTGTATGGGAAATGCTCATCTCTCAAGTTTAGATGGGCAATATGCCCAACTGTCTCAAAAGCTGAAGGAACAATCATACCTTGTGGAAGCAAGACCTCTAAGACCTGCAAGATGCAAATCCCTCATTTTTGCAAGATACACCAGCTACTTGTCCATATTCATGGCAGTTCCAATTATATTCTTTCCACACAGCACAGCTCACAACGGATGAATGCAAAAGTAAATAGGAATAAAGCAAAGGCTTCGCCTTCTATATCCCATCCAACTATACATGACAGCTCTACTTATGATATATTCAAGTACGGTAATTGACAAAGCACGTGTTGATTTACCCATGAACCTTCCATACTCGACAAGAAATAGGAAATGCTTAAACGGCTAAAAGGAATATCCATCCTAGAAAGGCATTACAAATAGCAAAACTGAGACACATGGTCAACAATATTTAAGGGACATACCTCATTCACGAAGGATATATGGTGTGGGCAATGGCCTCTGATGATACAGACTTTTCCTGTGCTAAAGAAACAACTTATGCCAAGCTCAGGATGCTAGTGTGGCTGAACTATGAGACAGGACAAGGGTGGAACCTTTATCTTAGAAGGATCCTAAATGACTGGGAGATGACCTTTATAGCAGTTTTTCTGAATATAGTCCCTCAAAATTTCAATCTTACAGAAGAAAATAACAGTTTGGTGTGGAAGGTGGACAACAGAGGTATTTTTACTGTCAGCTCAGCTTACAAAGACTTGGCAAGAACAAATACTCAGGAGATAGGATGGCCAAGGAGAATAATCTGGAAGACCAAAGTGCCTTGTAAGGTAAACTACTTTACATGGCTACTGGCAAAGGAAGCCATCCTCACTCATGAAAACCATAACAAGAGGAAAATCAACCTATGCTCTAGATGCTATCAATGTGAAGAACAGATAGAGACAGTCAACCATCTCTTTCTGCATTGAAAATGGACAGACCAGCTGTGGCAGATGTTCAACCACAAGAGGAAGATGAGGTGGGAGAAACCTGAGAGAATCAAAGAGGTGCTAAGAAGCTGGATCGGTGATGGCAATGCAGGGAAGGAGGAGAGATGAAAGATGGTTCCTACATGTATGTGGTGGACCATATGGAAAGAGAGAAATCAGAGCAACATACAGAAGATCAAGACAGACTGCTTAGGCCTTTACTATTTTTGGTGTAAACAAGTAGTTATAGACAGCACCAAAGGTGTTTTTAATGCAATTGATTGGCTGTAAGTAGATATATCAGGATTATGTAAAGAGACAACTTTTGTGATGGGGGACTACACTTTGTTGTGGTATACCTATGGATATATAGAAGTAAAATTTACCATTCTCAAAAAAAGGGACATACCTCATTCATTTGCCAATAATTGTATAATAATGTCAACTTGCATCTCACAATTTCAAAACTTAATCTTGTACTTTCCTCATTGTGTTCTTTGAGGACTGCCTGCAAACATAGTCCAAATTCGTAACAAAGGGGCCATTAAGCCTTCAAAAATCAGCAAGAAGTTGAATCTAAGCATTTAATTTCTACTTTGAATGAGTACAAGCATTCCATAACCACCCATCTCCCTTGGGCATTATCAAATTACTTGTTTAACTGATATAAATACATGTGGTGCACCTTAGAGTTTGAAATTAAGATCAAGATGAATTACCCTAAAAACAAGTGCTCTTCAAGATGTGTTTAGACATATAATTCATCTAGTAGACTTGTTGGTAAAACATGCATGATACTCATACCCTCCAACTATCTAATTTATTCGCTACTATAGCGGGAAAGTGAATCAATGATGACAAAAGGGCAAAAGTATATTGATTTACAACACTGTCTTGATATGTATTATATCAACAGTACACCAATTAATGAATGTCTAACTATATTTAAGGTCCCAATCCTTCCATTCTTGTTTCTGAGACAATAGCTCTCTTGACAAATTTCATAACATACTTCATAATTTGCAACCATGAAAGAAACAGGTGCTTGTCAATAAACCACAACCAAACAAGATTTTTTTTTGTAATTGGCCTGCCACTCTTATCCTTTCTCTACCTAAAGACCAGACTTGCTTAACCAGCTAGAATCTGAACTCATGACATGTATCTATCACACATACCCTGCTGCACTACCTTTGTAGTGGAACCAAATGCTCAGGGGGCTCAGCACACGGATAGGGAATAATTGCAGGTAGAACGAAAAGCAAAAGAACTCCATATTAACAAGACATTACTCATGAAACTCAAAGCATATGCACAACTCATAAAATAGCATTGTGCTAAAACAAAACAGAAACCTTAATTGCCTCGGGCATTTCCTCTATCCCCTTGTTCGCGTACCTCTCATCCAATAGCAATAACCTCGTCGATCCACTCCATTTTCTTCTTCTAAAATCATCACCCAATAACCCACTGAAATCCTCATCTCCACTCCCCTCTTCTTCAACCACCTCCACCATTGACATATCACTTCTCCCATACCCTCTCCTCTCACTTCCATTTCCCTCTTTTTCCTCTCTCTTCCATTTCTTCTTCTTCGGCCGCGATATTTTAGCCAAATTCTCAAACTTCACATATCCTATCGAATTGAAAGTCTTCGCAAGCTTATCTCTATACAACACCGAACACATTTTCTCCCCATCACCTTCACCTTTCCCGTAAATTCTCCGTTCCAATACTGTTAGGGTTTCATCATCAGTACTAATATCATTTCCAATAAACTCCTTCAATTCGTCATCAATATCGTCACCGGCAACCCTAGCAATGTTACGAATGCGCGGCCAATTTAAAAGGTGTCCGCGTAATCTACTCTCGAGTGAGAAACATTGTTCTGCAGGGACTCGTAAAGCAGTGATATCGAAGACTCTAGTGAAGTTTTCTTCATCTGAGTTTTGGTGTGAAGTTTTGTGGCCTTTGTAGAGGGAAGGTCCATAGGAAAGGTGTTGGGGTAAGGTTGCGGTAATCGCGGCGGAGACGGCGGCGGCGGAGGCGGAGAAGAGGGAAGAAGAGAGAGGTTTGGGGAAAAAGCGGCAAGCAAAAGGAGTGGTTCTGTTGAGTATAATGGCGGTGGGCAATGGATAGAGCGCCATTATTTGAAGTTTAACCCTTTCTGTTGCGAATGTGTCTTCCAATTATATATATAGGACGCATTATTATACAATTTTTCGCATCATTCATTCTAAATTTTATAAATTGAAAGAATTATAACTATGATTACAACCGAAAAGCATTGGATTAAACAATATGTTCTTGGGGTTGGATTCTGATCTCCAGATCGAGAGAGCAAATGAGAGTTACACAATTTCAAAATTCTAGAGAAATAAATAAGCAGTAGCAATATTCGTAATCCACAATATCTACAACGAAAACAACTAAGGCTCCAAAATTTGAAGAATATTTGAATGTGTAATCCAATAACTTCAACTACAGAGGATTCAAAAATTGTAGAAGCTAATGCTTCTTAATTATTGAGAGCAGAGACAGGGGAATTGCGAACTTACCCGAGGAAAAGATTAGCTTCTTTGAACCTTTTTGATTACTACTTGATTAGCCAGCCTAGGTTTTTCACTTGCAAAAATACTGTCAATGAACATTCCGTGAATTTGTACCTCAAAATCACTGTTCTTACTATATATTTATATACATGTAGATCCTTTGCATTATTCAAAAGTTAGTATAGAAAATACAACTTGGATAAATTTGTACTCAATCCTCCTCTCAATTTTGTTATGGACACAGTTTCTTTGCAGATCGATATTCAACAGCATTAGCGTATACATATTCGCAGCAGATATTGCAATGGGACCAACCCCAGCAAAAACATCACCTATAGAGATATCAGATATAAACAACTGTGAGAAACAGAGAGAACACCAGGATATAATGCAAGTAAGAATAGGAACCACAGAGAGATTAATTAATTCAGATAATAATAAGCAAATGACCAGTTCAGGCATATTTTCACTATTCTTATTAGCTTAGACTTACACTGCTGCTAAATCAACATCAAAATAGAATCCAATTCTCGACTACGAGCCAAAACTTGGAGCTACATTCTTTAGTCATTGTGGATGACATCAATTGTTTGTCCAGAACTACCAGGTAAAAAACCATCCATTTTCTCCCCATCTCCTTCACCTTTCCTATAAATTCCCCTCATATCATTTCCAATAAACTCCTTCAATTCGTCTATCAATATTGTATCGTCAGCCGAATGTTATGAATCATTTCCTATAAATTATCTTGCTCAATGAGCCCCTAGTGGCACTTTACGAGATTTCATACTTTTTAATGGAAGAATTCCGGAACCAGTGGCAACACTTTATGCATATCAACTCTTGACGGGTATCCGTCACATTCATAAATCATAACAAACGGTTTATCTACGGGATATAAAATTGAGCAACATTTTAAATATCTGAATAACAATTTAATAAAAATTGCTGATTTTGGATCAACCAAAGAAGAAACTGAAGAAACCTTACCCTATTCAAGAACTAGGTTCTTGTTTGTTTTACCTAGATAAAGACGTAACACACTAACATACTGATTTTATCGTAGAAACCTTCCTCCCTCAAGGAAGGAAAAACCATATTACGATTTTATTAACTTCAAGAACACTTCAAGATTACAACTCAACAATCAAAAGGAACCAACTCTAATAACTTTACTCTTCAACAATTAACTATAATCGAAGACTCTATTCTTCAAGAAGTAAAAACTGCTTCTTGTTACTATTCTCTCAAACTCTACTCTCAAAGAATACCCGCTTCTTGTTACAATTCTCTCAAACTCTCATAACACAACTCCTAAACACTGATTTAAGATGAACCAATGCAACACTAAACTTCAAAAGGAAATCCTAACTCTAGTACTTCTTTCTTTCTCTTTCTTGATCTCCTCAATGACTTGACCTTCGCTGGAATAAATCTCTTGAATTTGATATTGCAAAGACAACTCTTTCTTTCTTTGGCTTTGTCCTTCTATATAGTTGATTGGGCCTTAATCGACTTCTACAAGGAAAGGAATTAGTTTTCCTAGAAAACTATTCCTTTTCCTTATAGAACTTGTTTGCCTCCTTCCTTAGAAAACTAATTCCTTTCCTTGTAGAACTTGTTTGCCTCCTTCCTTTTCCGCCGTCTGTTTTTATTTTATTTCTTATTTAACTTGGATTGCTGTTTTGGACAAGATTTTCTAAAGGTAGCTAAGGGTTGAGGAGTAATTAGCTAAAACCCTAGCCTCCGCTCTTTCCTTTCCCTCTCTCTATGGTGACTTGAATAGCAGCCATGGCTGCTTCGCCCTCTCCCCAGCCTCTGGTTGTGGGAGAGACAAACGTCAACCTTAATACAAAAGCACCCTATGCAGCGATCCTAAACCACAACAAACGACCCAAAACCTGTTAAAAACCGTTCTAAAGCCAATTGAGTTTATTCATGGAGAACCCACTGTGAGATTTACGATGGAAGAAAGAGAGCAGTTTGCTAGGGAAGAAGGTTTACATCAAGCCGTGATTATCAAATTTGCTTATAGAAAACCGGTGTTATCCGAGTTGCGAAAGCTTTTGCCAAAACAATTTGATGTTAAAGGAAATTGTAATATCGGACAACTTGATTTTCATCACCTTTTGATTAGGTTTGATTTATATGAGGACTTTGTACATGTTATATCAAATTCTTATGGATATTTTAAGTTTGATGGTGAAGAGTATTTCTTCAGAATTTTTCTGTGGACGCCATCATTCAACCCTAAAGAGGAAAGACCTAAAGCCTGGGTATGGATTTCATTGCCAGAGTTACCTACAGATCTCTTTGCGAGGAGGTCTTTATTATCGATTGTGACAGCGACAGGAAAGCCTATTGCGGTGGATAAAGCAACACAAGATCGAACCAGGCCAAGTACTGTTAAGGTTAAGATAATCCTAGACTTATTAGATAAGCATCCAAATCATGTAAGACTACAGTTTATGGAGAAAGAATCGGGTAAAATTATTGAACATTATCAGAAAATTATCTATGATAATCTTCCACTGTATTGCACTCATTGTAAACATCAAGGACATGAAAAAAATAAATGTCGCTTGTTGGTGAGGAAAACAGTGTCTCAAGGTGATCAATTAGGTGATGAAGTTGGGCGAGATTTTGCACTTATGCAGCCTGATTCCGAGGCTAACAATACGGAACAATTAAAGGGAGATTCACGTGATTTTTTGAATGATAAGAGAGTTGGGCAAAAAGATATTGAAAAACTTGTAGGTGATCAAAATATTGGGCAGCAATTAGCTGAGAAAATTAATTTGAACAAGGATAATTCTTTGGCTATTTCTGCAGGGGTAACAGGTGGAAATCAAATTGCCAAACATACTGAAATTAGAACTTCAGAACTAAATGTCTCTGTTGTAGCGACAACAGAGAATCAAATTCTTGTTCCTAGTAGAGAGTAGTGCAACACCAAATGGATGTTTCGGGTGGCTGCAATAATCAACAATGTGTGGTTATTGGTGATATAGTTGATCATGTTAGAGTTAAAGAGCACAATAGTGAAACAATTGCAAAAGCTTTGGTCACAACATCGTCAAGCGATTCTGGGCAGCAACTAAATGGCAATGGTGTTAGAAATCAAAGCGCTACTGATGCGAGGCTTAATATTGAAATTACCGTAGCTTCAAAACCTATTGACTTGCAAGCTGAAAATTCCAATAGAGAAGAGAATGCATCTGGAAATTGGACTGTGATTGCACACAAAAATTCAGTTGGTAGTCGTATTGGTTCCTCGACAAGTCGAAGTAATTCTTCAAGTCAGGAAAAAGGTGCGACTAAGTGCGTTGATCGTAATTTAACTTTACCAACTCAAAATGTGTTTGAACCATTGTTGGCAACTGGAAAAATTCAACTAGAGCATTGTATGGAGAAAGGTATGTCATCTCTCTCTCATGCTAAATCGACAAATGATTTGATTATCTCTAAGGAAAAACAAGGAGAGATAAGTGTTTCTAGGTGGGCTGATTTGGTTGATGAAGAAGAACAAGTTTCACCTTCTCCTTTGAATAGAAAATTAAGCCCAGAGGCTCCAATATTTGCTCCTAAAAGTGTGATCGCAAAGAAGAATGAGTCAGGAGCCTTAGCATTAGGAATTAGCCAATGTATTGATTTGGGAGAGGAATTCTTTGAAGAGGATGAAGAAGATAATATGTTAGATATATGTTTTGATAAAGTGGCTAGGGATGGGAATCTTTCACCTAGGCAACAAAGAAGTGGAAGCAACAAAAGCAAAAAAAAGACACATGGAAGACATAGTTGGGATGGTAAGGTGATTGAGGAATTTGTTCCAAGGCACCTACCTATGCGATTGGCAAAGCAAAATCATATGATAGTTTCAACAACTTCGACAAGATCTAATAAGTCCAAGAAGAATTGATGAACTATCAAGTGTTATTGGACGGATATGAAGAAGAAGACATGAGGAAAATACTTCAGGTTACTCTAGATGGGCAAACTATCTTTTTTAGTTCATACATATATAAAAAAAAGTTTGAGGTTGATAACTCAACCTTATTCTTGACGTATATAATTTTGCATTATTTAAGTATCTCCATTTGTCATATCATCATAGAGTGTATAATAAACTCTGTGATGATCATAGAATACTTAGTTTTCTCTAACTCTTATTTTCTTCATGCTTGTTAATTAGTAGAGGTTTGTTACCTCATTAGGATTGGTAAGGTAAGGCCTAGCCCCCCTTGCTTGTACTTATTCACGTTGAGGATTTTATCTTATTATTAATAAAAGGCCGCTAGACGCCCTATCTAGTGGTATAGATTTGTTGAGAAAAAAAAGACAAGATTTTCCTATTTTATATTTGAATGAGTGAACTCTTTTTGCCTCTTTCTTTTAAGTCTGACATGTGTTGTGTGAACCAGGTTCATGTTGTCATCATCAAAAGTAATTTGAGAGTTTTGCCAAATCATCATAAACAAGTCGTAAGCATCAAGTTTTTGATCTAAAAGAACATGGCCAACACTCTTGAGTTGAGTTATCATGTTTGACATCACCCTGGCGTTATTTGACATTTTGATCATGACGTTTTTTGTAAGTGTCAAATTTAATAGTTAATTGTCGGGGGAGAGTCAGATGTACCCCATATGTTTCTCACAAATGTGCCCACATAGCATGAGCAGTAGGGAATTTCTCACATTCATGTATGAGGTCATCAATCATAGAACTAACTATTATTTCACGTGCAGTGGAATTAGCCTTTTTCCAAGCTTTATAAGCTTCAAGATCCCTTATCATGTGTTGTGCAGTGTTACCCTCTTCTAGTTGATTCAAAACATGATTTATACCTTCGAGAGTATTTTGCTCTTTCAGTACATACCATATTTTATGACTCCAGATGTCGTAATTGTCACTATTCAATTTTTCACCTTTGATTAAGTCAGCAATAATAATTTTTGATGTCATGTCTGTTTTGAGATATAATAAGGCAAGAATTTTTAATCAATTATGCATGTGACATATACACATTTAAGCAAATCAATTCTCCTAAAGGTTTCATATTTAATGTAAAATCGAAAAGATACGTAAGCATTCAATCATCATCTACGAACTAAATATTCAACCAAAATTCAAAATTAATTTCTTAATGTGTATACTAATATATTGAAGACTTTAATAACAAAGATTTTTAAGTCTAATAACATATATTGAGAAAAAAACAAACTACACAATTTATATATTGGAAAGCAAATAAGCAATAACAAGTTACAAGTCATTTAAAGACTAAAATCCTCCCACGAGTCTTGAAGATAACAAATATACACCCTAAAAGGTTGACTAGGTCGAATCTCATGATAAACATCCATCAATCTACTACTCAAGGGCGGCTCAAGCATATTAGTGGCCTAAAGCAAAAATCAAACGGGGCCTTAAACTTAAATTGTTAATAACTTTTATATAATTGATTTTTTCTAGTCTTCAATTGATAATATAACCATTCTTATTTTAAATTATTTTTTCATGAGATATAGTACTCCAAATATGTCAATTTTCTTCCAATATTCCTTCATTTTTCATGAAATGTTTACTTTTTCTACAAATAATATTTAATATTTGTTAAAAAAAATAAATAACTTATAACCTATTATCATTAAAAATGAGGCCCCTTAAATTTGGGGGCCTAAGGCACTTGTTTTTTTTTTAACACTGTCGAGCCACCCCTGCTACTACTCCAAGGTTCACGGAAAACATCTGTTATATAAGCTAAGCTTTTCAATCTAAAATGTCCTCATAATCAGCCAATCCATCTCATTTTAATTCAAAAAGGCGAATAAAATCACACGCTGAAATATTAGGAGACATCTTCAAAGACTTAATTTTTTAAAAAATTCTTCACTCTTTTCCTTCAAATAGCACTTTGATTCCTTAATAAATTTTGTGTCGCCCTTGAAACACCAGTCCGTATAATTTCTCGCCCTCGGAAACATGTTCTATGGCGACATGCTCTTCTACATTGTCCCTTTGCTCGACTTCGAGAACCTCCACTTGGAGTAATTCGAGTTTGTTCCTGTTCAGTCATGATTGCAATAGGAACAAGGAAACAGTAAGAACGATTATACCACTCCGTGTGACAACATATGTCACTATTATTTGTAGAAGATAAAAAATTGTTTAAGAAACTTAAAACTAAACGAATTTATCAAGACCAAATAAATATTTTATCTCAACCATAATGTATATACTCAAATATCAACATACGATTGTGAAAAATAAATAAATAACTAAATATAAAGTCAACAATCCAAAAGGTTTTGACCAGATTCAAAAAAATAATAAATTTAATTATATAAATTTCGGAAAAGGGTCAAAATTGCCCCTGAACTATATGAAATAGATCACTTATACCCTCCGTTACATTTTGGGATAAAAAATACCCCCGCCGTTATCCCAAGAGACCACAAATACCCCTCAAAAGTTAACTTTCAATTTTTTAATGACATGGCAAGCCACTTGGGACTAATTCCTCCACCTAAGACACCAACTAGGATTCCCACTAATTCATTCCTGCTGACCAATCAATTCATCTTCCCAAATCAAACCTAATTTTGAGAGAAAAAAATCGAATCTTCTTTATCATTGAAGCAATGTCAGAGGCTCCATCAATTCAATTGAGGAAGTGATTTAATTTTCAAGATCAAGTTAATTTTTTATATCGATAGTTATTTAGATAACTAAACTGAGCACTGAAATTATTTTGAATATTGTTTTGCTCGACAAATGGTTCTTGATTATGCGGATGAGCTGGTAGCTTTCCTACAACAACTTTGGATAAAACTCCACACTTAGTATCTGGTTGTTTATCAAAATAAATAATATGTTCAACATTTTTTGTGCCACATGGTATTGAAATGTAGAATTAGTATTAGAATACATAACTTTGAATACATTGCTTGAGTTATGGAACTTATAGAGGTTAATTTTTGGGAGGATGAATTGATGGGTTAGTGGAAATCCTAGTTGGCAGCTTAGGTGGAGGAATCAGTCCTATGTGGCTTGCCACGTCATTAAAAATTTAGAATGTTAACTTTTGAAGGGTATTTGTGGTCTCTTGGGATAACGGCGGGGGTATTTTTGATCCAAAAATGTAATTGAGGGTATAAGTGATCTATTTCATATGGTTCAGGGGCAATTTTGACCCTTTTCCGTATAAATTTTACATGTCTTGAATAAGAAAACTTTTTAATCCAATGCATTGTACAAGTACAATATTTACTCCCTTAAGTAAATAAGAATGAATATCACATTAGAGGACAAAAAATATATTTAAATGACTATAAACATCTACTAAAAAGAAGACAAATTATATTTTTTCCATAAAAGTTTAAGGTTCCTATAGTACTATAATAAATATTACTTGTCGTCATATCCTAAAAGGACGTGTATTTAAAGTTTTTTTCCACTCCCTTGACTCTTTCCCATAAAAAAAATTCAAGAATCCAACTTTATAAAATAAATAAATTAAAAAGTACAAGGTCCTTTATCATACATGGCCCTTCTATTCACTTCACAACTCTATTCCTATTCAATTTTTCATCTTATTTTTAGATAAAAAACAAAATTCAAAAGAATGGAAAAAAAAACGCCACTTCTAGAAGAATGATGAAAAAAAAAGATCCACACTTTCCTTCTTCTCTATCCAAAATGGTTATAAAAAAAATTGATCACCTTTTTTTTTCCAACACAATAAACAAACACTTCATCGTCAGAAACACTGGAAAAAAGGGCTACTCGTCCCCAAAAAAATTGAAGAATCGGAGGTATATTTTTAGATCTACAATTAGATTCAAATTTTTTTCTTTTAACAGGTGAGTTCGAATGAATCATAATTTTATATAAAAAAAAATACTGATTTTCATATAAATATTCTTGACGCAAGATTTTTTATAACACACAATCCGTACAGAATTTCAAGAAATACTATATAATCATTGAGCAATTAATGATGGCTATGACACCATTGATAGATTTAAACAACATTCGGTATAGAATTTGTGTACCTTTGATTGTTACAGCGGAATGAAATTCACGAACCGAATAATTTGCTCCAAATCCTTATTTGTATCACTAGGAAACAAAGATAAAATTTCACAAATTAAATGTCATGTTGTTGGATGTCTTGATGTCAATGATTCAAGAAGATTTCACCGCTATTATTTACGGTGAAGCAGTTACATCCCACCTTTTTTTTAAACTTATTCTTATCTCCTTTTCCAGAAAATAACTTCAGATCGAATTGAATCGATCCACGATTCATGACCCAAAACCTACGTGCACCATTTTTTTAAAATTAAAAATATTTTAACTTGGATAGACATGGTGTATGTATTTAAAAACTAGGAACACCCATATTTTATTAAAAATTACTTTGTTGATGTGTATAATTAAACTAGGAGACATATATTGTATGATTAATTTGTTTATATAATGAATACTGATAAACACGCGCAAAAATATTTTCAATATATAAATCGAAATAAAATTGACATATTACATAAATATGCTTTTTAATTTGGCCTCAATTAACATCTACGTCTGAGTGTGCACAAGTTAGCACTTACACTTGTATAAAGTTGAACACGTAGATACACACGTCTTACGTGACAATTCACGTGAGATGTTATGTAGGATATATGTATCTACTTGTTCAACTTTATACAAGTTTAAGTGCCTACTTGTGCATACCTAAAATTGAACGATATAAATGTCAGCTAAAACAAGTTAAAAAAACATATTTATGTGTTATGTGAAATATTTTTTCTTGGCAAATGTTCATAACTTGTCGATAACTTTGTGTTTAGTTAGTCACCGGTTTTCGTATAAAATATGAAGGTAGGAGTAACACTTTTAATAAAATATGAATGGAGAGAGAAAGAAATGGTGAAGTGTTAATGCCTAATGGGGGCTTTCCAAGAATGGACAGAGAAATATTGTTTGTTTATCTCCTGAACAAACAGAAAAGTCATATAAAGACAACCAAGGAGGAATCACTACCACATTTGTTTTGGTTTTTTTAACCCAAACTTGAATGCTACTAGTTAACCACTCCTCTCTTGAAATCAAGCTAAAAATAGTAGTGCTTTCTCTTGTTGGTTAGGTTTGATGGAGGAGAACAAGAAGTTGAAGAGTTATTGTGTAACAGGAGGGACAGGCTTCATTGGCTCATGGCTCATTAAATCACTCCTTCAAATGGGCTACAAAGTCCATGCTGCTGTGCGCCATCCTGGTTCTTTTTCTTTATCCTTCCTTCTTTCTAAACTAATGCCCCCCCCCCACCCCCCCACCCCCGGCCAGCGCCGCGCGCACACCAAACTTTAATCAGTATGTTGATTACAAGTTCGATCAAATCTATATTCTAAATTTATAATTAAAAGTTTACTAAATATGTATAAATTACTAATTCGAACCCATTAACCTTACCTTTTGGCTCCACCGCCTTTGCCCCCAAACAAACGAACATAACTTCATGTTGATAGTGTATATAATTTAAATTTTTAAGGTAGGTGGACAAAGACATAGTTTAAGACCTACTCTCTTTGTTTTTAATTTGATCTTTCTATTCTTATTTAATGTTTTCTTAAGTCAATTTTTCAATAAATGATTAATATGCTAGATTTCAAAAATTAAAATGCATTTGGATGACTATATAAATTTTTGAGTTTATTTTTGGAGACAAATTTTTTCACCAATTGATTCAAATTTTTTAAAAAATTGTTGAAACTTCAACTTTCAAGATTATTTTTGATTTTTTTTCCATCTTTTATTTTTAATTTGTTTGTTGAGATTTCTTTTTCAAAATAAGATTTTATAGAATAGTGAATGGAGAGAATAATTAATCAATGTATGAAGTATCCCAACGAATATTAATTACTTATTACTTTTCCTAGATTGGTCAAAGTATATATTTTCAAGACTTATTAACTACTCTAATAATAAGAATTGAATATGATAATTTATGTATTGATTTTATGAAACAATAAGTATTATAGACCAACTATTTATAAAAATAAATGACATATAAAAAAAATTGGAGGGAGTATTATATGAAAAACTTGAGGGGTAATGACATAGTTTACGACCTATTTTCAGAGTTGAACTTCGAAATTCAATTTCAAATTGTCAATTTTAAAATATTATCTTTTACTTGTAAAATAAAAATTACTTTTTTCAAATTTCATAGAAAATTATGACCAAGCACCCACTAATGCCCGTAATTTTTCTCGAGCTATGTGAAAATTTACTTCAGCATATGCTAGTACTTCACGAGATATTGGTGGGACCTGTGAATTCTCTAGTAAAGTAGCATGCCAATATTGATCTATATAAACAGAATATGTGGCAGTAGTGTGTGTATTAAATTCTTACATACATGTTAAACATGTTGAAATTCAGTCCAATTTATCAATTTTTTCTTATATTATATTAAAAATGATTTTTTTAGCGACAATTAATTATGATAATAGTTTAATTGTCACTAAATATATATTTTTAGTGGCAATTAGCATACTTTATATATGTCTTTAAAGTCTTTAGCGACATTGGATCTAATGACAATTAACTAATATCGATAAAGGCTTTAACATTCTTTGTTAATGTATATATTTATTGCCGCTAAAATGTGTTTTTGTTGTAGAGATAGTCGTTTAAGCTTGATATATTTAATTATATATCAAAACTCATTTGGTGCGCTGATTGAACCTGCAACAGTATCTCGCGTTACTGCGAGTTTGATCCTAGACAAGGGACTGTGTTTTTGGAGTTTTTTTTCCCTTTAAAGCAATGGTGTCCCCTCTATTTAAATTATGAGTTCGTCTCTACTTGTACTCTCAACTTATAAGAGTTTGAGATCGAAGGTAATATTTAGGTTGAATTTTCCAATATTACAGAGAAGTCATCACATCTATTGAAGTTAGCTGAGGGCAGTGAGATGCTAAGATTGTTCAAAGCTGATTTAAGAAAAGAAGGAAGCTTTGATGAAGCAATGAGAGGTTGCATTGGCCTATTCCATGTTGCTGCACCCATGGAATTCTGCCCACAAGCCACAGAAAACGTTGGTAAATATATATGCTTATCTAACTCATTAATTTTTGCTCCTAAATTATTTGAAATTGTATAATTTTTGGCTTAATTATTTTAACTTGATGAAGACAGCTATGTTGAAGAAAATATGATAGAGCCAGCAATCGAGGGGACGTTGAATGTTCTGAAATCCTGCTTGAAATCCAATTCTGTAAAAAAAGTTGTTTTCACATCATCAATCAGTACAATCACAGCCAGAGACAACTTTGGGAAATGGAGACCTTTTGTCGATGAATCTTGCAAAATACCTATCCAACATGTTAAGAACACGAAACCAAGTGGTTGGGTAATTCTCTTTTCCTATACGTCTACCGGATCCTTAAAAAGTAATGCATTATTTGAAGGATCTGACAACATTTTTTGAGCAACATAAGGCAAAAGTACTACTATCATTTTACGTTATTTATCGATTATTTTATAATTCACTTTTATAGGTTTATGTACTACTAAAGGTTTTGACAGAGGATGCAGCATTTCAGTTTGCAAAAGAAAATGGCATTGATTTGGTTTCAACAATAACACCTACTATAGCTGGTCCATTCCTCACTCCAACAGTTCCATCAAGCATTCGAGTTCTCTTGTCACCAATAACAGGTTTGACAGAACTCAATAACTTTGGTCTAAACTTTGTATATATTTGTTAAGAAACGCGCTAAATATGCACCTACAATATTTGTAACACATAAAACATGTCCTTTAATTTTATAGGTGATCCTGAACTGTCAGCTATACTGACAGCTGTGAACACAAGAATGGGATCAATAGCATTAGCTCATATAGAGGATATATGTCGTGCCCACATATTCCTCATGGAGAATATTAAAGCAGAAGGACGATATATATGTTGTGCTCGGAGTTGGGCAATGTCTGAAGTTATCGATCACCTTAAAAAAGAGTATCCTTACCCTGCTATAGAGAGGTTATCCATCCATCGATTTCTACGTACTTAAATAGTCCACATGAAGTTTATAGTCTAATTCTCTGTATTTACAGGCAAGATCATGACGGAGGACATGATTCAGTAATCCCCTCAGAGATTTCATCAAAGAAATTGAGAGCTCTGGGATTTTCTTTCAAGTATGAAATCAATGATATCGTACGAGATACAATTAGTAGTTGTATACATCATGGCTTCTTTGCCTCTATTCAAAAGTAAGAATTGCAAATTTGTGTTCCAATTACGAATACCTTTCTCAGTTGGAAACGGATTTTTCAACTTTTATTGTTCTCTGAATCCCTTTGTGAGTTGGAAACGGATTTTTCAACTTGTTATATATACCACCTATTTTTCTCATCATTCATTCATTCATTATAAGTATGATTACAACAGATAAGCGTTGGATTAAACAGTATGTTCTTGGGGTTGGATTAAATGGCCCTGTATATTTGGCAACACATTCTTCTGCCAACAATTATTCCCAAGCTGTAGCTGTCAAATCTGCACAAATTGGATCGGATGAGTACTCTGTGCTACGAGAAGAAGGAAAAATTTTGAACCAATTAAAAGGTTCGCCTTATATCGTTCGATGTTTTGGGGAAGACGAGAGCGTCGAATACGCAAAGCGGACGTATAATCTCTTGCTTGAATGCGCCACTAGTGGCACTTTACTAGATTTCATACTTTTTAATGGAAAAATTTCAGAACAAATGGCAGCACTCTATGCTTATCAACTCTTGAAGGGTATCGGTCACATTCATAAGAAAGGTTATATCCACGGGGATATAAAATTGACCAATATACTTATTTATCCGAACAATAAGTTGGTAAAAATTGCTGATTTTGGATCTGCCAAAGAAGAAACAAGTTGCAAGCATCAGATTTTTGATATTTGTTCTGTAGGGTGCGTTGTCGCAAAGATTCTCACCGGGAAGCCCACGTGGTATGTGGGACAGATTAACAAATATAAACGTCAGATATGTGGTCTTGATAAGCCTGATGAAGTGCTTATAGACACTGATGTTTCTAACATGGCTAAAGGTTTTGTGACGGAATGTTTGTTTTGTGATTTTACAGGTAGATTATTGAGTGTTGATGAACTAATTAATCATCCTTTTATTCAGAATGCAGTTAGTACTCCTGAGAATGAAGAACACTTGATTAGACTCTCTAGTACTGTTAATGATAATCTTTTTGGTGATAATTGGATTTCAGAGCGTGATTTGTTTACTACAACTTCTGAGGAATGGAAAACCAAAATAAGGAGATCAATCAATAATCCAACAAAAGAAAGACACACTTGAACATACCGAAGACACGACTCTAGAAAGGGAGATACATATAATTAGTAGGATTACTCTTAATTACTCATATACTATCTTGTTCTCCAATTATTATTTTTTATATCTATTGTTTTATGCTTTAATTATAATATTAGATATTATTATCATTATTGTTATTATTATCTGCATTTCTATATATTCTTTTCCATATATAATTTTATTATGCTTCACTTGAATCGAGATTCTATTGAATTCAAAAAAATCCCAAAGTACAGCGTGCTTAGAAACTAATGAAATACTGGTATATCTTGCATATGAATAATACCCTAAGCTACCTTGAAAATTTGATAGTCTTTCAATTAAGAAACACAATAAACTTGCATCAATATTAAATGACAAACGCATTATTCAATAATAAAACTTACATCAATACTAAATAACACACATTTTCTTTTTTGAATTTTCTAATTGACCCTTGAGCAGACTTTTCTAATTTCACCTTGATTTCCAGTAAGTACTTGGAACTCTTTCCATTTTGACCATAGACTCACTAGGGTCTGTTTGGAAAGACACCTGCTAATTGGAATTGGAGTAATTACTAGGGTAGTAATTATCAGTCTAGTAATTATACGGTCTAGTAATTATACTGACCTATTTGATTGCCACAGTGTAATTACATTGCAATTATACATGTCATGTTTGGATGCCACAGTGTAATTACACATGTTGTGTTTGGATGCACAATTGCAATCATAAAATTATATTAAATTTTAAAAACAAAAATTAATTATTTAAAATTCATACTAGACAAATAAGAAACTTTATAAATGATATTAAATTAAATATTTAAGATATATATTCTTTTTGAAAATATATTAATTAATAAACATATGTTCTTAACTAATATTATGAAAAAAAAATGATTTATATTTTTTCAAATTAATATATTTCAATTGAATTGATCATAAAAACTAAAAAGTATGAAGTTTTTACGAACATCGTGAAATGGAAGTTTGATAAAAAGGTTAATATATAAATAAAATGTCATAAATTATTAAATGTTCGACAAAAAGATAATCTATCAAGTCTAATTAAAAAATGACTTGCAATGTAAATTCAATATTACTAAAACAAATGAAACTGAAAATATAACATAAGTTATAAATTCAAAACAAAAAATTTAACATAATACTCTTATAGCAAATTTCAACATAGTACACATAAATATGATTTATTTTATTTTATTTTTAAAAAGAAAACGTAAGTCTATAACCCCACTTAATAATAAATTCTATTTTAATTTAAAATTTAGAATGCTGATAAAATTATGCTAATGAGAAAATAAGCATGGCATAAAGAAATAGATAATACAAAAAAAAATTACATAAAATCACGTGAAGTAAGGTTGAGAACGAGAAGAAAATGAAATATAATAATAAAATATAAAATAAACTTTTAGAAAATTTTATAATAATAAAAATAAAAATAGAACTTAAAATAATAGAAGTAAAAATAATTAAAAAATAAAAATAGAATTTTAAAAAAATAATTAAATAGTAATCAGTTGGTAATTACACCATGTACCAGCAATTCACAGCCTCTGCCTGTGAATTGTAGAATGTAATTACCCCTTGCCAATTACACTAATTACATGTTGACCAAGTAATTACCTGTCCAACCAAACAAGACAGACAGTGTAATTACACCCAATTACATTAAATCCAATTACCAGGGTGTCCTTCCAAACAGTCCCTAAATCTTTTTTAAAAGTGGATCCATATTGATTAATTCCTTATTTTTTGAGATAATCTTTGGTTTCACTATCATCAAGTAAAGCAGAATAAGAATTATCAAATGTCCTGACACTTCCAGGGTCCATCTCCACAAGGGTATTTTGGTCATTTGGAGAACACTATTTTTTTCAAATTCTTTGTATAGTTGGGGTCTAACGAGGGATCTGTATCTCCTTTTCCAGTAAAGTTGTAAAGACGGTTGTTGAAGGATGAGCAATGAGAGATTCCAATTGTGTGAGAATCTATTATAAGTTGTTCATTAAAAAAATATTAGATAGTTTATATAAATGAGGAAGGCAAGATTTTTATTAAAAGGATTAATTTTTCAAAATATAAACAAGTAAATATACAAAGAAAAAATAAAATTTATTGTATATCATAAAAATAATTTTGATATTACATATATACAACTCTAGTCGGGTAGAGTTCGATGAACCCCTTGCGGCCGCCCTTAGTTTATTTTAAGGGAAACTAAGCAGATACCCATAAAAGCAAAATAATTACAAACATATACCTTTGTATATCCATATCCACTAAATAATTACACTATATACCCCCAACTAAATTCGCTTAATTGATACTAAATCAATATCATATATTGTATTGATATTATTAATGATGATAATTTTACTTAACTGATACTAAATCAATATCATATATTGTATTGGTATAACTAAGACCCACTATTTATTCATTGGAAAAACATCAACAGTACCAAGGCATTCCCTCAACTCCTCAGGTGATGGGGTCAAAGAGATGGCTAGAGTGAACGATAGCCTAGGTAGTTTTCATGAGTTGTAAATTAATTTCATAGAGGTAAAACCATTGAAATGTTGGAAGATGCATCTACAATTAGGGAGAATTTTGATAGGTGTTGTTAGAGTCAATCCTTAGATTGTAACACCTCACTTTTTGAAAGAACTAGAAAGAGCTAGAATTAGAAAGAGTTGTTTTTGAAAGAATGAAAAATCTGAAAATTTGTTAAGTTATGTTAAGTTTGAGTTTTTGGTCAACTTAAAACGACCATAACTCCTAGCTTAGGATGATTTAGGTGTGCTTTCAAATACCGTAGAAAAGATCTTGGAATTATCTTTCCAACGCCGCTGAGTTTGCGCAATTCCGAGTTCGTATGAGTGAGATATGCCCATTTGAAGTTGGGTTGTTCAAATAAGGAAAGTCTAATCCGGATTTCAGAAGGGTACTTTGGTCTTTTCACTACACTATTAATTAATTTCGTTTTGGTAATTAAGTTGGGGTCTAAACTGATTTGGATCAGTTTAAGCTTTATAAAAAGGAATTAGGGTTTTGAGAGAAGAGAAAAGAAGAGGAAAAAAGAGGAGAAGAAGCAAGAATTCGTTGATTTCTTGAGGAATTGAGTGCCGATTTCGCCAAGAATTCAATCCTACGAGGTATGTGAGTTCACATAGCATTGGGTTTGTTTATCCACGCGCCAAACATGTTTATTTCAGTATGATTTTCGTCCTAAAAGATTGAGACTTTGATGTTCTTGAGTTGTACTCTTGAATTGCTTTCGTTCTTGAATTTGGGATGAGATTGAGGAGTTCTTGAGAGTTTAAGGTCGATTATTAGAGTTGTTTTGAGTTAGATTCTTATGTACATGTACTGGTATCTGAATCTAAAGAGGAATTGAGAAAAAGAATCGAATTTAGGCGAATTGGGGCTAGAAAATGAAGAAGGAACAAGTCGGGCAAAATGGGTACCAGGTCCGCATCGTGGACATGTTCCTCAGAATTGACAAAAGTTTCTCCGCGTCGCGGAGTGGTCACGGACCGTTCTGCCTCAAAATTGTGACTAAATAATTAAATGCATCTCCGCGTCGCGAACTTGCTTCCAGATAGTGATTTCTTGAATTTTTTTTCTCGGCGAAATCGTCTGGTGGACCCTTATACTTGTATGTGTTTGTATTGTGAACCCTTCTACTTGCCCCTTTGTCATCTGAACCCCTGAACTTATCAAAACACAATATTTTAAACACTATTTTTGACTTGGCATCCTATGTGGCAGTTAATATCAAAGAGTGTGTGACACACACCTATTAGGAGCGTGAGACCCTTGGAAAAGGATCTAACAGTGACATTAAGGCTTTGTAAAGCCATCATCTTCCTATTTGCATCTAACACCATTGTTGGACAAAATTTGAGGTTTTCTTGGCCTCTTTTTTTATCTTTCCCCCCCAAATTTCTTCTCTATCGTTTCTTGTTATTATACAACTCTCTTTTTATGAAAAATGCCATGGAAGGCATAACACTACTACCAAAATATATTACACTAACATTAGACACAAAAATGCAAAATCCTCAAAAAAATTCAACAAAATCAATGTAATCGACTAAAACCCCAAAATCAAACAAAGACGCAAATAGAGATCAAATTCAAACTAAACAACAAATAAATTCGAAAATAAATTGGAAAACCTACCTAGATAAGTTGAAAATCAAACCAAAAAACTCAAATATATTTGACATTGACCCCTTGTTTCAGTTCCAAACCAAACCCAAACTTATTGCCTTCTTCTTGTCCACCTCACCTTCTCCTACCAAACTGCCTTCGTTCTCACCATCTCTGACAAGCTTCAACCAACAAACTATAAATGAGAACCAACAACAACAACAACAACGATAAAACCCCCAAACTAACTCCGTCAATAAGTCTCGACTTTCACAACGCCGCAAGTTGTGAACAACTAGAAACAATCAGACCACCCAATAGACCCCCTTTTTTCCTTAACGCCATCGGTCACCACCAAAATCCCAATCCAACAGAACCCAAAATTAACTCCGAACTTTGACAAGATTGTGAACAATCAGAAATCGTGCCAACATTTTTTACTTCAATGGAAAGAGTAGAAGAGGTTGGAAAAAGGAAAAGGGTAAGGAAGATAAGAAAAGGTTGAAATGAGATTGTGGGGATGGAGATGCAGATGGCTATGGCAAGAGAAATAAAAATTGGAAAGAGAAAGTGTAGGTATATTAATCAAATATAATAAAAGGAAAAATGACATGGAGTGATCATATATACATGTGTCATTTTATAATCATACGTGTCATTTTATAATTATTTTTAAAATTACGTGTCAGGCGTTTGTGATACACACACAGTTGAGTAGTAAAAAACGTATTTAAAATATTGTGTTTTGATAAGTTCAAGGGTTCAGATGACAAAGGAACAAGTAAAAGGGTTCACAATACAAACACATACAAGTATGAGGGTCCACCAGATCATTTCACCTTTTTTTCTCTTGTTTAACTATCTAAAAACACTCCTAAACATCATGAGATCTTTCCTATCACAAATCACCATCCTTGAATCCATAATTCAATTCAAGGATCAGTTAAGAGTCAAGTCAAAAGAAGTTGAGAGCCAAGTCAAGAGAAGTTCATAGAGTCTTCCAAAAGTCTTTTACAAATATTTTAACTTTATTTTAAGACTTGAGTTTTGAGTTAAGTAAAGAGTAAAAATTGAAGTTCATTTCTTCAAAAGAGTATATTGGGACTATGTATTCCCAAAGAGTAAAATGTTTTCACATTTAAAATAGAAAGGAAACTTTGATTTCCAAAAGAGCCTTTGAGCTAGTTTTCAGTTAAAGAGTAAAATGTTTTCACATTTAAAGAAGAAAGGAAACCTTGATTTCCAAAAGAGCATTTGAGATAGTTTTCAGTTAAAGAGTAAATATTTTCATATTTGAGCAAGAAATGGAACATCGATTCCAATAGAGCTTTTAAGCCAAGTTTTGAGTAATTATCTCAAACCAAAGAAAGAAGTTATGTTATTAAACATATGAGCTGAGTATTTTGGGAGTAGTATTGAGCACCGATATGGGGACGAGTTTGAATTCAGATAACTCACGTCTCCATAAACCATGTAGTCATCATGGGTAGTAAAGGATCATACTTTTTAGATGAATCCTTAAGTGCTTTTTAGCATAGATTAGTGAATCCACTTAGTTAAGACGTTCTATATGACGACAAAGTATAAGACAATTTTGGCAGCGTGGGCAAGACGTTGTATCACCACTTAGGCTCATAGTGGTGGTTGTCGGTTAGAGAAACACCCACAATAGTATTATTTTGTATTTTTATATACATTTCAGAGTTATATTGTATCCTTGCATACACATTATAGTTACTATTGTATTTTTAAATACACAGAGTTATATCCATGTTTTAAAAGCTTTTCTTTATATTGCATTTATGTTATTGCTTTATATTGAAACGAGTTCAGTCTAGTTGAGTTGAGTTGAGCCAGGTAAGTTCTTTAGTTCTTTTCAAGCTTATGTTTTGTTTTAAATTCCCCTCGCATACTCGTACATTCAATGTACTGATGCCATTTGGCCTGCATCTTCTAATGATGCAGACGTAGGTAACCAGGATCAACATCAACGCATCGTTCATTCCAGTTGAGCTCCAGAGTTTGTTGGTGAGCCTCCTTTCTTCCGAAGGACCCCTTTTATTGCTTTCAGTATTTTAGTTCATTAGGATGTCGTGGGTCTTGTCTCGACATCCATCTCAGTTTTAGAGGCTTCATAGATAGACAATCAGTTAGTCATTTGTCTTTACCTTGTTATTGGCTTATGTTCATATTTGAGTTGCCACTTTGGCTAAGTTAAATGTTTATTTCTAAAACATTATGAGTTTAGTTTGAGACAGTTGATTTATCTTGCATTTAAGTTATTTTCTTAATGCTTAAAGTCTTCCACTGAGTAAGTATGCCAGAACAAGGGTTAGCTTGGGGCCAGCAATGGTTCTCGAGTGCCAGTCCCGCCCAGAGTGTAGGCTCGGGGCATGACAGATGTACAAAAAGTTGTAATCTTAAATACTTATATTATTTTATTTGGTGTGAGATACACGTACAGAAAGAAAGCTAATGTGAAAATATCTAAAAAGATGTATTTATTTTGATTGAAAATGATTTAACATGGTAATATGATTTCCACAAACTTTAAATGACTTATTAAAAAGTAAGGCATAAAATTTAGGAGGAATTTTATGTATTATCTTTTAATCTTGTGATTTCAAATACTTCATGTGGAAAATTAAAATTAAAACAGAACTAAAAAAAAACATCAGGGATGTATTCACCAACTCAAAAAACATTAGGGTTATATTTACTAACTCGAAAAACTTTATGGATATATTTGGCAATTAAAAAACTTCCTCGAAAATTGCCAGTTGTTTCCATATGTGTCATATTCTAAACTCATCATCAATCCCTAAAGCGGTAAAACTCGTTAGCTTCCTAATTTCACCGTTAATCTTTTTCTGATCCAATGGTTAAAATCACGATCCTTGTGCTTTTTACTCATTGGTTCATTTACAATTCCCTTAGTACTATATAAACACCAACTCCAATAAATTTTTATCACTCATCGTTACTCTCTATACAACACAAATTGAATTCATTTTTTTGTGTTTTACAGAGGTTTTTGATGGCTGGAAGAGGCAAAACTCTTGGTTCTGGTGCCGCAAAGAAGGCTCAATCTCGTAGTAGCAAAGTCGGTCTTCAATTTCCGATTGGTCTTATTGCTCGTTTTCTGAAAGCCAGCAAGTATGCCGAGCGTGTTGGTGCCGGAGCTCCTGTGTACCTTGCTGTTGTTCTCGAATACCTTGCTGCTGAGGTGAATTTTTGCTTTATTTTCATAAAAAAAAATCTGTTTTTGTTTTCTCAATTTCTAGGGTTTCTGATTTGGTAATTGAAAGTTGATTTTTATCCTATGTTTGTATTTTTGTTTAGTGTTTCTGATTTTGTATGTGAATTTTGGTCTTTTCAAGTGCTTGAATTAGCTGGAAATGCAGCTAGGGATAACAAGAAGACTAGAATAGTTCCAAGGCATATCCAGTTGGCTGTGAGGAACGATGAAGAACTGAGCAAGTTTCTTGGTGATGTGACAGTTGCTAATGGTGGTGTTATGCCCAACATCCATAACCTTTTGCTTCCTAAGAAAGCTGGCATATCAAAGCCCTCTGCTGATGAGGATTAGGTGGAAGGATAAGAGAAGGTTTCTAGGGTTGAGGGTTAAATTTATTTTTTTAGTAATTGGTGTTTCTGTCTCTTAGATTCCATAGAGATTAGGTGAAATCAATTATGTTTTTCTTTTGGTTTAGTCGAAGCTTTTAGGGTTTATGGTAGTCTGTATATATAAATGGAGGGATGAATGAAAGACTATTTTCTTAAATTGTTTCTCTTGGTTACTATTTTTATTTATTTATGAAATATCATCTCAATGAGATCTATCTTTATACATAAACTTACAATTTTCTTCCTTCCTTTTCAGCATTTTATGGTTGAGAAGTTGATGTGTATCCAGAGGCATATCCAGGATCTCAAGAACATGAGGGCACCATTATCTTCAAAATAGACAATTAATTCAATTATATAAATTTTACGGTGAGAACAAGTTGACGAGCAAGTAGGTAGTAGCAATCTTTATATAGTAATATATTAGCAAAAAACATCATTCACTTACAATTGTGCTCGACGAGTTTTCATAGTTTGAAAACGGTCAATAATGGCATAATTACTTACATTTTAAAATATACTACGCTCTATATAGCAAACTAAACAACCATTCAAAAGATCTTCATCCATCCTATTACGCAAATCATTCTTTATGTACTTCATTGATGAGAATGCTTTTCCCACGCTTGCGGTAGCAACAAGAATAATCAAAGTTAGCTTCACAAGTAGATACACAAGTGACCAAGTTTGATCTAGTTTTGTCTCTATCATCACTTTTGCAAGATCCTTGATTCCCTTCAAGTTGAGAAACTTGTTATCACACTTTTGAGCATAGACAATAAAATCATCAAGTTGAAAATTGAGTTCCCGAAGCTCTTTATCACCAAACTCACTTGGGTAGTACTCGACTAGTTTCATTATCCTATCCTTGTAAAAATTAGCAAATGAATCAACCGGACTCAAACTAGCCATACCGAGGAGCAAGTCACTAATCACCACATCAAAACGATTGTTGAGTTCTTGAAGTGCTAAATCAATGACGACATAAAATACTTCCACACGAAAGTGATGCAAATATGAAATATTGGACCTCTTACGCTTCGACTTCCCATTAGAGTAGTCTTCATTCATTTTGGAAATTGAAATTCCATGTTTACCACAAAATAAGCTAACATCATCCATCATAGAGTCCCATTCATCCTCTCTCATCATTTGCAATCGTTTCTTTGAAAGGTCAAGCAATCCCATAACATTAACGATATCTTGATCTTTCTTTTGTAAAACTTTATTCAACTCATTCGTCAATAGCAACACCTTAAACATCAAGTGCAACATAAAGACAAATTCAAATTCATGAGTCTTGCTCAAAAGATTTTTCGCCGCAAATCTATCAAGATGATATGGACAATCACGTTTCATATCCTTAAGCACATTAACAATTGAAGAAAAAAGAATCAGGAAATTGTCCAAGGTTTTAAAATGAGACCCCCAACGAGTATCACTCAGTCGTTGGAGGCCACGTTCTTGATTCAAACCTTGCCCTGTATGAACTTCTCCAAATTTAAGCAACTCTTCCAACTTATCTTCTTGATGTTGTCGAAGTGAATCTCTGCGTTTAAATGAAGCTCCAATAGTATTCAAAATATTAGTGAGAACATAAAAAAAATTATCCACATCCGAATTCTTTTTGGAAAGACCTACAAGTGCCAATTGCAATTGGTGAGCAAAACAGTGAATAGAATATGCAGATGACGTATCTTGTAAAATCAAAGACTTGAGACCATTTATTTCCCCTTGCATATTACTAGCCCCATCATAACCTTAACCACGTGTTTTGGATGTACATAATGAGTGATCCAAAAGCAAAGAATAAATTGCCTTTTTTAATGATTGAGAAGATGTATCATTTACGTGGACAATACCCAAGAATCGCTCTATCACCATTCCACTTTTGTTGACCTATCTCAAAATTAGAGTCATTTGCTCCTTATGAGAAACATCCTTTGATTCATCAACTAATATTCCAAAATAATCACCGTCCAAGTCTTCAATGATAGCCTTAGTTGTTTCTTTAGCACAAGCCTCCACAATATCTTTTTGAATTTTCGGACAAATCATCATATCATTTTGTGGAGCATTACCTAATGTTACTCTTCCCACATCAAAACTTCTATCCCCATACCATTTCAAAAGTTCAAGAAAAGCACCCTTATATTCGGAACCTTCACTTTCATCATGTCCACGAAATGGAAATCCCGATGTCAAGAGAAATCTTGCTACATCAATTGAGGCATTTAAACACATCCGATAATCACTTCTTGCCTTTTCACTTTGCTTGTCAAAAGAAGATTGGATCGATTGTCGTTGGTTTTTCAAATCTTGCATCCTATTGAAACATTTATGATGGATGCTATTTACCTTACCAACATGTTTTTTGAATCTTTCTAAAGTTTTGTTCCAACACCTAAAACCATCTCTTGTAAATGAATCTCCGGCATTTCCACGACTTTCAAGTTCATTCTTGAACAAATAACAACACAAACAAAATGTCGCTTCTACTTTAATGTTATATTCCAACCATTGAGATCTTCTCTTAAACCAAGTTGGTCGAAATTGACTCATTTTATCTCCAAACTTAGTTTTAGGGAAGATATGATCAACAGGCTGACATGGCTTTTTTTGAATGTAATACCTCCTTACCGCATCTCAAATATTAGGACCATAAGATGAAATAGGCATTCGATCTTTGGGATCTGCTTCAAGAGATTTAAAATCAAGCATATTATCCATATTTGAAAGTGGAAAAGAATTTGTATGTCTTTGAACTTTCGGAGCAACTTGTGAACTCACAAATGGTTGATTAGAGCTAGAACTTGGTTGGTCATCTTTTGGCTTTGGTAGCTTGATGAGAAACTTATCCATTTGTGATTTGATGAATTGATTGTAAGAATTATTTTACCTACAAAATTAAATATTCACACTTCTATTCAATCTTATAAAAACAAAATAATTTTTAAAAATATTAGCACGAATAACAAGTTTACTAATAAAAGAATCACAATTATTAGATAACTATTTAGAAATCAAGAAATTCTTATAAATTTAAATATTCAAGAAATCAAATCATGGAACCACTTCATAAATCAAGAAAAACATATAAAACAAATGAAGTACATTAATAAATAATATTTTTTTTAGATAACATACCTTGTTACTTGTTCTCAAATCTCACTTCTACTTCACCATGAACAACAAAGTGGAAATGTGGAATGAAGCCAAAAGAATAACAATATGATGTCTTTACTCCTTTTTACCTTTTAGTTTAGGGATTTGAAAAGTCAAAAGAAAAAGTTAAAAAAAATAATAAGAAAAACGTCTAAATAAAGAAGGAAAGGAGAAAAAGAAAGTAAAAAATATAAGTTGACTTTATTGACACTTCTAGCTTAAGGTCTAGACATAGCTAATGCAACCTAAAATATGGGTAATTGAACCTCTTTTTATTTATAAATTATTAAAAAGATCTATGAAAAGTGGCACATTTTGTTATATTAATTAAAAATTAAAAATGTTAATGTGGATAGAAAAATTTGAACCACAAATCTATAAGTTATGCACCCTCTATTTATACTTACTTATCAATATACTAGAGTATTCTTTTTAACCTTGGGTTCACCAATACAAATTTAAAAAGATAATTAGAAAAATAATAGTATTATATAGGGGTTAGGAAGGGGAGGATGGGTGCATGTGAACCCCCTCCCCTTCATGTACATATGCCTCAGTGTATCATGATGAATTAATTTTGTTTTCTATAGTCTGTGGGCATGATGTTTATGAGCATCCAACCAATTAGGGCATTTGCTTTGTTATCCACCCCCTTCTCCCCAAGTTCGGATTGTGGCAATATGAATAGACGTTAGAAATCATTGCTTATGGACATGATTGTATATGAAGGTCAGTGAGCTTTTTTATTGTTTGCTGCTGATGTATATATTGCTGAAATGCTGAGTTTTTATGCTTCTTATGGCCTATGGTATTTAGTGGATTTTGTTTGCGTGAATGTACCCTTGGTGTACATTAACAATTCAGCGAAGTTGGGTTGATAGTGAGAGGCAATAACCTTTATTTGCATTAAGTTCTTATTGTCATAATTTGGCTTATTGGGTTGATGGTAGCATTTACTATCTATATCAAGCTTTTGTCACCACCTTAATCGCTAGCTCTCTGTAATACCATTTTTAGGCTGCACTGAATTTTAGTAGCCTTTATTAGAACATACTTTAATGTGTAGTAGTAATTATTATATCATTCCTTCTGAAGGATTTGTTGTCATTGATATTATTTTTCCTTTTAGACAAGTGCATTAAATATATCTTCATATAAGTATTTAATCTCTCCTTGCAATATTAGATGGAACTTTCTGATGATTGATCAACAACATTGGAGTCCGAAACCAAAAGGGCAACAATTTTTTTTCGAATATTCTAAAAGGGCAACTCAATTAATTATGAAATCAAAAGGGCAACAATTTTTAACGCCGTGTAAATCAGGTTTTCTAAAATGAGGCTCAAATTCCAATGAGTCTTACAAGGCTCAAATTCCGATGTGCCTTGTAAGGCTCAGCCGCCAATGAGCCTTGTAAGGCTCAGCCGCCAATGAGCCTTGTAAGGCTCAGCCGCCAATGAGCCTTACAAGGCTCAGCCATCAATGAGCCTTGCAGGCTGTTATTTTTTAAAAAAATATTCTCGTTTTATTTTCTTGTTTGTTAAAAGTCTAATAATAATAATAATACATATTTGTTGATATGATGCATAAATATAGTTTAGACCTTATTGCTAGCCATTACTTTGTGGCATTTCAAACGAACTAAATCCAATAGTTTAGACCTTATTTACTACTTAGTTGATATTTTTTTCTTCAACTTTTTTTATGTGAAATTATAATTTGGTTTATTCACTTGCAGAATAATAAAATTTAGCCTTCTTTAGTCATACTTTATTTTGGTGGAAATGTCCTATTGATGAATATGTTGAAAACATGAGAAAAATTATACTTCATATCAAGGTAAAAATAATAATATACTCTTTAAATAATTTACAGTAAACATGAACCATGCATATATGTTGGAGTTCGAAAACTTCAATTTTATATATATAATTTGTAAAAAATTGATAGAACATATAAGGGACATGATAGAAAATATAAAAGACAACACTTCTAGAGATTATCATCTGTCTTGATGCGATTGTTGTTGTTGTAGTTTATGTCTACCGGTTCCACAGGTAGTGGGTACGTGTGGCCTTGTTGTTCTTCGAGGGTTGTTGATGTCCTGCCAAATTATATTTATTACTGAATTCTATTAATATTTTATAAATGTCAAAATTGAAAATTTGTCGATTATAACACCATACATATTGTTGTGAAGGTCCAACTTCATCATCATTTTGATTTTGTGACATGTCATCCTGGAATAAGATGTAAATCATTAACATTTAATTTAATATAAATAAAATATTCTATAGATTATTTAAAGAGTATATTGTTTATCGTCGAAAAACTCAATCTCCCAGCATGAAATGGTGAGTTTTGAAATTGACTTTGTCGTACAAAACCATAATTTCCTTCGTTGAATTCTTCAAAACCCAAATTTACAACATTAGGAGTTTGAAAGCCACTACCTTCTTCTTGTGTGTAGTTGGGCACACTCGTAAATACTCTAGCACAGTAAAAAATAGGATAATACGAGGTGTCGGGAGTTGCCAATCATATCAACAACTATGTATTATTATTCTTATTAGACTTTTAACAAACAAGAAAATAAAATGAGAATGTTTTTTTTTTAAATAACAGCCTGCAAGGCTCATTGGCGGCTGAGCCTTGTAAGGCTAATCGGAATTTGAGCCTCGTTTTAGAAACTCTGATTTACACGGCATTAAAATTTTTTGCCCTTTTGGTTGGTTTCATAATTAATTGAGTTGCCCTTTTGGAATTTTTGAAAAAAATTGTTGCCCTTTTGGTTTGGGACTCAACAACATTGCCAGTGCAAAAGGGATGTTCATATGTAATGCACTACTGGAGTCAATTTGTGCATGGTTGCTGGTAAATGTGGTATGTAATATACTCATATCTATGTGGTTTTCTCCTAGGGAAGTGTTTTTTCATTTCCTGAAGGATGTTGGTTTATCTTTATTTCACTCCCATAAGATTTATCTTTCAGTTATCTTTATTGTTTAGGCTTTTCTTGTTCGATGTTATGACTGCATCTAAGCTTGAGTTGTAACTGATACTAGTTCTTTGTCTTGTTTGAGCATGAAAACTTGTAGTATTGGTTTTGGCCATATTATTGAGCTGTAAGCCTGTAACTGATACTAGTTTTTTGTCGTGTTTGAGCACGAGTATTTGAAGTATTAGTCTTGGCCATATTATGTAGTTTCAGTGGATGCCTTTGGCCGGTTTATTGATTCAGACCAGTTACAAATTTGAATAATTGTTACATCACAGATTAAATGACATACTTGTTATGGTTTCATATTAAATAATACTTGTAAGGTACTTTTTGTTTCTTAATTATTTTAGCACATTTGGTTGTGCTCAATCTTGTGTGGAGTTATTGAGTTTGCTTTCTGCGGACTGCGATGTTAGTACCAAGCAATGAGATTTTTACATTTGATATTTATGAGGAGGGTTGATTTGGTTTTCTTTATAGATGATTCGTCTCTGTGTTTGCTGTTATCAGATTTAGTTTTACATGTTTTCTATTGCCGGTATGTTTCTCTTCTCTAGTTCTCTCAAGGCATGACTGATTATTAGCATGTGCCGGCTCAATCACTGCTTTTTTAACACATCAGTTAGCTACATAATGTTTTACTCTGTTGTTTAGAATTAGGTTTAGATAACGAGCTTTCTTTTAGCTCTTAAGAGTCGAGACCCTTTCTTCGTCCCATGTTTTGGGGCTGGCTGATAGAGCTGACCCAGTTTTGCATATGGCAATATGTGTTCAACTTGTCTTGTAAGGTGACTTTAAGTTCAAATTTATTGGTCTGTTGAATTTATGGGTCTTCCAAATGTGTTCTTCCATATGTTTGTTCGTATGGAAATAAATAAATTTTAGTACATTGGTCGTCATGGTACTGTTTGATGATCAAGAAAACATAACTGGGGCCGAAATCATCAGAAGTTTGATATCATGATGTGAGATGTCTTATAGATTTCATCACTCAAGTAAGGATAGAAGTTGGATTGGTTAAGAAATTTCTCACAAGAGTTGTCTTGTACTACATTTATTGTATATATCTTTGCCTGGTTACCTTCTAAGTTCTAATATTTACTTGGTTACCTATTTCAAAAGAAAGTTCTAAATTTACTTGTCGATCATTAAGTGGACT